GGGGGCATTCAAACCTCATTTTTAAGCAAGATGAGACCATTTTGGGGAAGTGTGACCTCCTGATTTTTAGATGGGCCATCCAGGAAGACAGCACAGGACAATGCACACAGGACAGGATCACAGGAAACCCGCAGTCCCACCTGCAGCACATGAGTGGGTCAGCCATGGAGTCAGCCCAGGATGCTCAGGGGTCTGTCCAGTCTTGTCTTGGAAAGGCTCTATGCATGGAGCCTGTAAAACTGGATATACCTCCTCTAAGACATAAATGCATAATATAACAGCGTGAATACTCACATAAACCTGTTCACCCAGAGCTAGGGCAGAGGGAGTAAGAGAAAGGGAGCTAATCTCCACCTTTCCATTCACACCTGTTAGTGGAATTCATCACCAGTCACTCAAACACAGAATTAATTCACTTTGTTTTTCAGAAATAAATTTTTCAGGATATCCTAAGGCATTTTGTAGCCCTGCAGCACTTGACAGACTAGTATCTGCTATTTGAAGAACATTTTGGAATTGGAGTAAGATAATGTACCAACCTTTAGAAAAAAAAAAAATGCTGCTACTGTTTACTTTTGGCTGTCTTCTGAGAACAGGAGCCCATTAGGATAAAATAGCTTCACAGTCAACTCATTGAAGTGTTTAAGTCAAGTTTTTTGAGACTGCTTAAAAACAAAACTTCGTAATAGCTGTAGAACCACAGACATTTTGAATTGCCTAATATTTTTGAATGAGCACAGAGCTTGGTTAGAAAGGCTTTGATAATTACCCCGGCATACCAGTTACTGAGCAAGTGAATTTTGTACCAAGTTGCTAGTAGTTTTTTAAAGAACAAAGGAAATGCCCTATAGCAATGCTTGGTAGAGGCAAATTTTAGCCTCCTAACTGAGGAAAGGGGAATATTTTAGGTGGTGTATTTCTAGCTAATTAGCTGAAAATGAAAAAAGCTCAAGGAAATAAAATGAAACTACTTGCTGAATAGTTTGTACCCTGGAGCAAAAGACACCTTCATAATGATAAAACGTTTTTAATCACCAAAGGCTTGTTTAATGGGCTCTATATTTATATATAACACGCTGAAACTATGCCAGTGTGGCCCGTCCTAGAAGTCAGTGCAGCAAATGATAACAGCACTTGGAATGAATTTGGCTAATCTAAAAATGTCTCTGAAGGTCTATTCCTTCCCCTTTGGAAAAAGATCAAGCCAAACAGGCCCTGCTACATGAGCCAGGGCCTTTATGTTAAATTTTTGTTCAAACATAAGAATCTCAAATTCTGACTCCTTGAAATGTGTCTATCTGTGTAGATGGCTGTGCTAGCTTTGCAGAAATTTTTGAAAAATGAAAAGTGGAAACCTAGGCTGAGTGGAAATTTCAGCGAGTGAGGGAGGTTTCTTAACACATTACAGCAATGATATATATGGTTTCTGCCCCATGGTTTGAGCACCCACAAATTTAGGGGCCATACACAGTGCAGAGTCCATGGAGAAGCAGCTCTGAGTATGGGTTACTGCAACCTAACTAACCTACCTACCTACCTACCCACCTACCTACATACCTACCATCCACACCATACTTTCCTCAATGGCTGTCCCTGAAAATCTGCACAGGAAGTGTGTAAAGAGCATAAATTGGTCTTATTGCAGAGTAAAGGTGGTTTTATTTCAGCAAATTGACATCTCATTTTTGGCAGGTTGCAGTCTTGATTCACAACCTGTTACCTTTCTTCTCTAAGTGCACTGACCGCTCCTGTTCCTGTGAGAAGGCATCACCACCTGGCTGCTGCCTCACTGCTTTCAGAGGATGCTGCTTCTTCTTTAACTCTTGAGCTACTTGTCTACCAGAATTCATGGGAAACATGCAGAAACCTGCCAAGAACAGAGTTTCTGATGTAGGTGCTGGCTCCACACCAGCCCGGCTGCCACAGACAGACTGCCGCCACCCTTTTGTAATTTGCTTCTTTTTTGCTACATGTCAGCCTTCAGAAGGTGCTGATTGCAATTACGTAGTTGATGAGCTTCCTAATCCAGTGTCTAATTTCACCTGCATGTTGAATTTTTAATCCTTAATCCGGTAAAGATTCTTATATCAATAGCTGGACTGTACCCTCTGCACCAGGACAATCTGTGTGGAACAAGTATTATCAAAACTTGTACTTGCACTAGTCTGGAGTTCTTTGTGGTTTGGGGGTTTTCTTGTTTGGTTGGTTTTTTTTTTGAACTAAGTTGTAAAAAAAGACTTGGCTTTATCCCAAATCAATTAATTTATTCCATTAACTGAAGAAAAATAAAAATAAAGACATCTGATCTATTCAGTGTTATATATAAGTTTATTTAGTTGATGGATACAGCTCAATCTGAAGAAATATGTTTGCTGCATGTACTTACTGAGTGAAATTAAATCTACAACACCCAGAAGGTTAATCTGTATATCCTTACTAGAAGCTTCAGTGACCTTCATTACAATCTTCTGAGTGTATTACATCAGGAAACTAAAATTCAGTTGGCATGCTGTTTTTCTCTAAAATCTCACTGGCCATCAAGGACTAATAGATCCATAATTTAAATATGACGTTGCATTTTTTGTTGTTAAGGCATATGGTTAACATGGGATCACATCCCTGCCAGGTTGTCTAAAAGGGGAAAGATGCTCAACTCCCCTGAAATAGCAAAAAAAATGCCATATTTTACTTCACACCCTCCTTCCTCCCCTTTTACTTCTACTAGGCAGCCAGACAAGCTACGGGTGTGAGGGATGGTCATTACTCACTAGAACTTTAAAATGGATCCATGACTGGGTTTAAGGTAAAAATCTTCTCTCCCTAGGCTTTCTCTGAGCTGCTAGCTCCTATACTGAACTGTGACTAGGGAGACCCTGAAGTGAGATAAACCAGAGAAAATGTACAGCACCACGGTGAGGTTATATGTAGTCACTCAACCCAAACTGAGCAGGGGCAGGACAGTTTAGCACCTGGATTGAAAATCCAAGGGAACGCTCCTGTACGCAGGTCTCGGCTCCCTACGGCTGTTACAGATCCTGGAGCACTTTTCAACGAACATCTAAGCTTTGGACAGGGTAATTACGTTCTCTGCCGAGTTAACTCCCCTTGGAAATCTGAGCAGCACCCAGCTCTCCACCCTCTGCTCTGAAACACTGGATTTCGGCTGGTGGGCGTTGCTCAGCTTGCAGCCGAAGGCGGTGCTGCGCTGGTTGGGAAGAGATCCCTGCGTGTGTCTCAACAGTGCGTGAGATGATTTGAAACCTGTTGGAGTAAAAGATGTTGCAAAAACATGAATGGTTACATTACTGTTACTCCAGGAGAGGCCTCGATGCCGTAAGTGAGCAATGGGGCAGTGAATTAGGAATCATTTTAGAAGTATCTGTCTGCTGGGGTAGTTCTAGGAACGCAACCCTGCCGAGAAATGCCCAAAGGAGACAGATACAGAAGTTGTTTGAGCGCGGCTTTGGAAAGTCAGAACTCCTCCGTGCTTGCCTCACCTTAGCAAGGGCTAAGAGCTATTTCTTCAAGGACTCCCCTGAAGAAATGTAAGCAAAGCGATATTCCCGTTAAAGGGAGATAATGCCATTTAGCTACACGGTAGGTCTATTGTCACAATAAGCAGATAAGGTTTGCAAGGCACACCTGAAGCTCCAATAAGCACTAATTAAACATTTTTCTCTGTCATCCTGTTTCCCATAGACGGCAATAAAGTTTCTACATTACCTGTTTTAGTAGCTAATTAAAGCTAAAAGTTGCCTCTACCTGGCAGCTTGGACATATTTACTCGCTAGCACGGGGAGAGCTACCCCTGGATCTGCAGCAGCAAACAAAACCTTTGAGCCAAGCGCTTCCTCTGCGGGCGGCGGGGCGGGAGCGCGATGCCACCGGCGGACACGGGGGTGGCCGGGGGGGCTCACCTGCCCCGCGGGGACCCGCCCGCTGCGCCGGGGGTGTCCCTGCCCGCCGGGGCCCCTCCCCAGCCCGCCCGGCCCCAAAGTTTGGCCGGCAAAGTTTGTGCGTGTGGGCGCCGCGGCGGCAGCGCCTCCCGGGAGCGGCGGGCAGGTGAGGAGAGGTGAGGAGAGGTGAGGGGCGGCCGCCGGGCACCCACCGGGGACAGACGGGAGGTGGGTGAGCTTGCGGCCGGGTCTCTCCCCGCGGCCCCGGCAGCAGCCGCTGCCCCGGCACCGCCCAGCCCCGGGCGCCGGGACGCGGAGCGGCGGGGCCGGGGGCGGCGGCGGGGCCGAACCGGCGCCTTCAGCGCGGAGCGGCCCTGCGGGATGAGGGGCAGCCCCGGCGTGTCCCCGGCGTGTCCGTGGCGTGTCCCTGGCGAGGGCTTCAGCGCCAGGAGCGGCCCCCAGGCGCTGCGGGGTCCCCAGAAGTTGAGGGGATCGCAGAGCCCCCGCCGCTGCGCCGCGCACCCAGCAACTTTTCTGCTGACTCCCGACAGCCACACACACCCCCCCTCCTTCGTCACACAGCGGGAATCGGGAATTCGTGGCACGTCTCCAAAATAAAAAAAATGGACTGGTGTTTTGCCTGTGCGTTTTCTAGCAGTAGAGTGAATGACTGGGGTAGGCTGCGAGTCTTGTTGGCATGCTGATAGCCCCTCGGTTCGCTGCAGTCCGTAAACAAGACCATGTCATTTCAACAGTTCAAAAAAGGAAAGATCTGGCTTTGACACAGTGCTTTTGCTGATGTTCCTTACCCTGACAGTGGGAAGAAATCCCACCTATAATCCTGTTAGAAGACTGAGAGCCATCAAGTTGCTGTCTTGTGAGCAGTGGTTTTGTTTAACTTCCCAAAATCCAGGTGACTTCCATGGGACTGCTCGCTGACTCCCAGAAGTGCTACAGACAGGTAAGAGCTAAGCATGCCAAACTTGCCTTTTTCTGCTGAGGTCCCTCAGTCCTGACTGGCAAATGTTACTGACAATAATAATGATTTTTCCTTTTTGAAGCAAGATGTCCAGCAGCTGTAGGATGAAACCCTTGCAACTGAATATCCTGGTGAACTGAAGTTCCAGATCTGATGCTTTCCATGTCTTCTCTGCTGTCTGTAATTAACCAAAACTTTCCATGATGCTGATGTGTCAACCTGCATACACATGGCATTTATCTGTTCTTAACACAAGCATAACTTTTGTTTGTCTAAAGCTGCAGCTTTAAATTAATCTGCAGGTGTCTGAGGCAAGTTGCTATGTGCACTAAACTTACATGCGCTGAAGTTTAGCAGGATTTATGGTGGAGCAGCAGGACCAGGTAAATGGTGTGCGTGCTCTCAGAAGCAGACTCTAACTTATGCCCCTTGTTTCATTAAAATGGATTTTTTTTTTCCTTTGGAAATATATCAAAAGGATAATGAGGAACTAGTGATGTTAATAGATTAAAATGGTGAAATCAAATGCAAACCATATTTTCTTTGCCATGTTATTAATTTTGTATAGTATGTTGTATGCTATGAAGTACATTTAAAACAAAATGTAATTGCTATAACAACATTGTGGTCCGCTATATAACAAGGGAGAGTGAGGTTGAAAAATGTTAAATATGTACAAGTTGACTGGGTGGGAAGTTACTTTGGTGATGTTGATGTTTGGAATTTCCTGACTGCTATTAAAATTTCAAAATTTTAAGCTCTATTTTTTAAAGGGGCTTTATTGTTTTATAATTGGCAGCGGGTGAGTAAGAATACTCACTTTGATGAAAACAGGCCTCTCCTTTGAAGAGAAATCCCTATATGTTTCATAAAAAAATATTTCTTTATTTGTGTCTTATGGAGCTCTTACAGAATTCTCTTAACTTGATTTGCAGTGTTGGTAGGTAGTAATCTTCTGTTATTGCCAGTAATAAAAGTTGTGCAGGCCAGATGGTGTCTTCAATTATACTTTTACACAGCCTTCTTATAAGCAACTCTTCAGATGAAGAAGTTGCTGAGATGTCAGCAGGACTGATGTAACAGTGGGCCCGTATGCTGTCTCTATACCCCTATTAAATTCCTGTGGACAGGAAAACTCCCTTATGGGAATTTTGGTTTGGTTTGGGCTTTGTTCTCTGCGTTTGTTTTGTTTATCTGGGGGGTTTTTGGTGAGATGTTGGTTGGCTCAGTGTTAAGCTCCGAGCTTAACTTGCTCGGAGATAGGAAATGGCAAATGCTGTATGTTTATTTCTAGCAACCTCTGTAATAAACCAGAACAAAAAGTAATACTGCCTGACATGAGGAACTGTGCAAGCATTGTTCGGAGCTGGAGCTCTGCCGTGTGCCAGTCGTTGTGAAGCCAGAAAGTTGAGATGTGGGCAGTGGAAAGGTGATCCTGGAGGATCATCTGCGTGTGAAGTAGGACATGAGCTAACAGATGAGAAGTGAGGGAGGAGGGGGAGCGTTGAAGTGAGAAGATATCCTTGCTTCCTTCTACTGGCTGAGCTGATAGTCTGGGCCAGTGTCCAGCAGAACATTCCTCACTGCAAAATTTTCTTGCCATGCTAACTCCAGTGGAGGTATCCGAAAATGTGTGTTTCTTGAGGTAAGGATGTAGGGAAGAAAATTAAAAACACCCAAAAAACCCCAAAACTGTGCAGTTGCAGTTGCTTTCTGTGTTCTTTTTCTCATTTTGTTTTCACTAATTCAGTTGTGTCTAAGGAGATACTGAGTGGGTGAGAAATTGTAGTATCCCACAGTAATATGAATGTTTTGACCATTATAAAGATTGTCTGGGTTTTTTCATCTGAATTTTGCTCGTTAATCCTGCATCTTGATATTCTTTATTTCCAGGTGAAGGAAAAAAATCTGAAATTAAAAGGAAAGGTTTCTAAATAGGCAGCAACCTAATGTTTTGCATTGATTTTGGAACTAGATGATGGTGAGGGTTACGGTGGCAAGGAAATCTAAAGTTAGCCAAACATACTGACCAGATGCCATTGGTTTTGTGTGGTCTAGAATAGGAAGGAGCCAGGAATGGTACTTGAGTGCTGAGGTGCCTCTCCTCAGCTGCAGGTATATTTGATTGAAAGGAAGAAAAAGTTTGATGATGTACTGAAAGGAGGAATCATGCCAAAAGCAGGAGGTGCATTCTTCCCCATTTTTGGGTGACTGTGTTATTTCAATTGTTCTTGTTGGCTCTGTACAGGAATGTACCTATTTGATCCCAAAACACAATGGGGAAAATGCAAGGCTGTTATATTAGTAGAATGAGGATTCTTGAAATTCTTAATATTTGACAAATGTTAAACAATTTGGACTCAGAAGTGAATGATTATAGACCTGTAAAATTTCTACATTTTTGCTCTGTTTGTCCTTTAAGGCACATAGTGCTATTGTCTGCCAGATTTACTGCTTCTCCATGATGGATAAGGATGTGTAGTAGTCGCTCTCCAGTATTCAAAAGAACTTGAAATTTTGGGGTGCATAGCTTGAGCTCAAACAGTGGGGACATTGGGGTCCATACATCAATGGGGATAATGGGGGTAATGTTGGGCAAAAGCAAGAATCTAGTTCAGCATAGGTGTAAGGCACAGAGCAATCTCTCAGGCTACATTAATTCCCTCATAGCAAGAACCATCCAGCGAGGATGGTCAAGGTATCACCCAGGGGAGCTTTGTATGCCCAGAACTAGAAACAAAAAAAGGATTCCCAGCTTAAGCAGGGATGCTGAACCTGTGTCTGGATATGGTTCATCTCTTTTGAAAATACTAGGGTGGAAAGTAACTGCTTCTTGGCTTTTCACAGCCACAAGAAAGCATTTATCTTGATTAAGGAATATTTGCAGGTATTTCCTCTTGCCCAGGTTGCCTGAGAGCGTAATCCATGACCATTGCTTTTTAATACAAAAGGAGCAAATTTGTCAGTGTTGTGCAGCCATTTTTCAAGTTCTTCTAGAAGACCCACAGACACTGACTTTTTTAAATGTCACTGTAATTTTTTTATATGGGGGTTACAAATCACTGTGTTAAATAAATTAAACTACTCATTCAAGCTGAAAAGCCTTTAAAATCTTATAAGGTAGCAGAATAGTTGGGTTTGATGTATTTAGAGTCTAACCTGAGCTAAATCAGTAGTCTTAATTTAATGTTACTCTTGTTTAAAACTAATCTTAAAACTTAGTCAACATGTAAATGAAGAACTCAGTTTCACATAAATTAAATTTAAATAAATTAAACTAATTGCAAGCAGTGTGTAAACTCTTGATACAAAGATAATTACAGTGACTGTGATGGTGGAGTGAATCTGCCTTAGGGTGTGTTTGGTAGTTCAAAACAAAAAAAAAAGAAAAACATCTTGAACTGCTGTTTCCTTTTACAGACTTCTTTCCACTCAAAACCAAAACTAACCTAGCAGAAAAACATCTGTTTTCTTATTAACAGATTAAATAGCTTTAAAAAAGGAGCTTAAAAGTGCTCCTTATTTCACTGTGCATTTTCATCATCACGTTTCAGGGCTTGTAGGTGGTGCTGCATACAACCACAATGGTGTTTGGGCTGGGTCAGCTCTATATCCTATGCTGTCATGGGTCATGGATGTATGTGATACCAGCTACTGCTAAAGGAAAAACCACTGGCACCATTCCTTGGGTAAATTCTTTGTGGGGTGTAATTTGGTTAAACCTGGTCAGAAAGTGCTCGTGGTGGTGGCAAGAGCTGGGCAAACAGTGAGAATGAGAGCAAGTGGCTGGAGAGAGCAGCAGTGCCAGCCTACAAGTGTCAGAAATGTTCATGGAGATGTGGTGTGAGATACTTTCCTTTCAGCATCGTCCATGTGGCCTGAGAAAGCTTTCCCTGCCTACTCAAGAATGCTGTTTTTATGAAAGAAGGGCTGAATATATGGGAGCTTTGTGTAGTCAGAGATAGAAGAAAGCAGCATTACAGAAGTGGGCCTTTTTGGAAGCATGCACTGTCATTGTGTGTGTCTGGATTCCTCACCTTTTTATTATGAGAGAAACTTGCAAATCCCAAACAGCAAGAAACTGATTCCTGCTTTCTAGTACCTATAATTTAAGTAATCTATTTCAAAGATATATTCAAACCCTCATATCTTTTTATTTGCTGCTTTTTTTCCCTCCTAATCCAGATGCTGTCAATGTCCTGTTACATGAACAACACAGCTTTTGTTTGTGGGAAACAGAAGAGGTTTGTATTCGTCAGTTCTATGACTAGTGGTTCTTGAAGCATTGCTTGTGCTGGGAAGCTTCTGTCTCATCAGCAGAGTGACTTCTAAAGACATGCAAACAGTGCATTTGCTGCAGCACTCAAGTTAGGTGCAAAGCCCTAAGTAACTTTGTAGCATAGATAAAGAGCACTACAAGTCTGAGAGTGCTGAGAGCACTGTAAGGAAAAAAAGGTGCAAGTGATCACACTTATGAAGATCTGGGTGAAAGGAGGCTCTACTACCCACACCTATACAAAAAGCATTTCACAGCATTCCCCAAGCATTTTCTTGGGTTTTGCCCAATTTTCACTGCTTGCTTCCAATCCTGTGCATCATCACAATAGCTGCAAACAGGTACTTGTATATAGATGTAAGATACTCCCTCTCTGTAGAATCAAAGTAGAAAGAGCAAGGTTAAGAATAAAGCCTCTGTCACCTTCCTTTCATGTGCATGGTTTGAACCAGTTGCTTCATGACCCTTAGAAAAAAACTTCAGACAGAACACTTACATTCTGTTAATGTCTAGCTATCTGTCTTCTACAGAACAATTACACATAAAATGATTAATATTTAAACCGTGGCTTACATTTTCTGCAGGCAAGTTTGTGCTTAAGGGATGTGTATCGTTTAATAGCATGGAATTGGAAAAAGCATATGAAAAGTCCTGAACAGTTTTGTTGTTCTTGAAATCTTTTGCATCTTTCTAACATAGTTCCTTTGTTTATTCAACAGCTGTTTTTAATGGGAGTTCCTGCTAAGCCTTATGTGTTCTGTATTTTTAGAAACTCAGCAATTATAGATGTAACAGTGCTGAGTTATTAAAAAATACAAACTTGTGGAACATGGAGTACTTGTGTGATTTAGAATAACTGTTAAGTGGCTGCATTTTCTTTTCTGTGTATTTAATAGATTTATCTTTCAAATATCTTTCAGTTGGCTGTATTCCTTTAAAAGCTCAAGTTTTTCCTAGAATTCTATGTGTTAGTTCATCAGACACTTCTGTCATATGTAATGCCAACAGTGTCCATTATGTTGAATTTTAAGACATTTTCTTTTGCTGTGCAGACCAGTTTCAACAACAGCTCTTCAGCCTCTAACAATGCACTTTCAAAGTGAGCACATTCTTATTCAGGTTAAGGAGCTGTCCTCTAGTGATCCATGTTCTGATTTTATAAAATGAATTTTATGACCCCTTTGTGGCACATGCAGGGTATCAGGTAAATCACTTTCTCTGGGCCCACTGCTGTTCAATAAAGAAATCTTTCTGATAAGTTTTTACAGTTGAGCTCATTTCCATTAAATTTTGTGGCAAGCATTGAGTTCCTGACAAGTCCCTCTCCATATTGCAAAACAGAGCTGAATAAAAAGATGAGCCATTAATTAATTTTTTGCTCTTTTACTGATCCCATCTTATGCTGACATTTCCTAATCCTGCAAAACTCAAAACTTGGGTTCATATTTGAGGGTGGATATCATTGTATGACTCCTCAATGCACAGGCTGAACCGATTGTGGGGTCTGCGAGCCGAGTGGTTGTGTTGTGGGGTCACCAATCCTTAAGGACACATGATGGATTACACAGTCCAGAAGCAGAGATGCTGGGTTGCCCATCACAGGGGGCTGGCAGCCTCCTGGAGTGTGACCCAGCCACCTGGAAGGCTCCAGCTGCTTGCTGTAGCTCCCCAGCTGTGGTGGTTGGTGGGCAGAGTGGGGCATTGGTGTGACACCCAGTGACCTCATTTGGGTCATCACCTCCCTCTGTTATGACAGCAGGTGATGTTTGCTCTGCTGGAGGTGGAAGGGTCTTTTCAGCCACTTTGAGAAACGCATCTGCTTGGAACTCATCTGGGGGTAGAAAGAACATTGAGACCGTGAGCAGAAATATAAGCATTGAAAGCAATAGCTTGTAAGGGTTCCAGCTTGTTTATAGTACGCTGTTAACACGGTCTCTGGTGAAGAATAAAAGTGCAACACGAAAGCAACCTCCCTCTCTTGTTATTCCAGGTTGGTGTCTCTGGGGAAGATGTCTCTGCAAGAAGATGCAGGCGTGCTGAAGACTTCAGAAAAGTGAGCAATGAGTCCTTCTGAATGCTGAAGAGAAGCCCCCTTGCAGGGTCATGAACCTAAGACAAGTCTTCGTGTCTGTACTGCTGTTTGGAGTAGCTGGTCTACTCCTCTTCATGTATCTGCAGGCTTGGATTGAAGAACACCATACAGGTACACTAGGCTTTCTCTCTTGGCTTTTTTTATCATAGTTGCATCTGTTATTTTAAGATGACCATAAAACCTATTGAGAGCAGTTGGGGGTGGAGTTCCCATTCCCCCACCCCTACTTTGGAAGTAAAATAGCATTGAAAATAAACTTGTTTCAATTGCTACACTTCATTAAGAAATTTCTTCAGTCACATGAAAAGATGCCCCTAGCTACCTAATTGTATTGTATCAGCTTCATTTGCAAAAGCAAGTGTTGCAAAAGCATTCTGCATGTCCAATTTAGAAATTATTCTCAATGGTGATTTGTTGTGGGATTTGTACATTACATTTTTGTAGTAAAGTAACTTTTGGAGAAAAACAGCTGTGTTTTGTAGACAAAAGTTGTCTAAGCAGCAGTGCTCATGGAATCATTCTTTCCCTTTCTTTTTTGTTGTTGTTTGTTTGAGACTGGGCTTAGAAATCTTTTTATATATAGCATCAGAGTCATCTAGCAACTTCAGATAAATCTATGTTAGCACTGGCTCAGGATTACACTTCTGAATTGTATTTCTGTTGTTTCCCATTTGTGATCTTTTGGGTTTAACTCCATCTTAATCTAGATTCTCTTATGGACTAAACTAAACCAGATTATTTACCTCAACCCCCTACTAGAAGCTCAGTCACCTTCCACAAAATGTCAGTAAGGTCCTCCACGGTTTTGCTCTGCAAGTCCACTTCTGCTATGTCAGCTTATTGAGAGCATATCCTTGATTTTACTTGCATACTTGTACTGGGGGGGTTAGGGTTTTGTTTTCAAAGTTGGGTTTGGTTTTTTTGATTGTTTGGTATATATGCTTGGGGTTTTTTTGTCAGGGTTTTTTTGTTTGTTTCTAACTTGTTAAGTCTTGACTTTCAGATCCTCTCATCTCTCTCAATCAGCTTCCATTTCCTCTGTAAAATTCCTATTTTATAGTATGTTGATACCATTGTGAAGAAATATATCTGTAAAAGCACATTAGTCTCTGGTTTTATTGATTTGTACTGTTATTCCATGAGCTGCTAGGCTCCAGTATGTTTTAGAGAGCAGTGTTGAGGGGGAAATATAGTGCATAATTTCTGCAGATGTTTGACAATGACCTTGAGGTTTTTTCCAACTAAGTGCAATGATCACAGCATTAATTCTGGCTTGTTAATTTTTTCGGGCTGTCCCAAAGTATTCAAGAGCTTGTATTAATAAAACCGTTGTGAGAGGTAATACAGGCTCCCTTTGGAAAGGTTCCCTTGTAATCAGTTGTTGACAGAAAGGTGCTGGCAGAAACTGAGCATGAAGCAGAGGGGGGTCTTCCTTGAAAATCTCTACTGTTGTCAGGAATGTTAAGGGTAGATATCCTTGCTTTCAAGGTAGTTCAGGAATGTAGATGATGATTGTAGATTATTGATTTATTTACTTGCTGACATTCTTCACATTCCTTGCATCTTTTCTTGTGCTGTAATTAACCTTTCTATCCTTGCAGTGCTCCTTGGTGCGGTTTCTCACTGCAGTTTTTTTTTTACTACTTTCTTTTGTATGTATCTCTCTACTATTAAAAAGAAAGAGAAAAATAAAATAAAGGTTGAACTAGGACAGACTCTGTTGTTTTGGCCAACCAGTTGCTTTCTTTGGGGTTTTCTTTGATATATTGCTATAATCATCTTCAGGAGAGAGGCTTCTCCATGCACACATAAGTCATTTCCATGTGCAAACTTTTCTCTAATAAAATGGAAGCTATCAGAGAATAACAGAATGGTTAGTGAGTTTAAAGTGTGACTGCAGTTTTGAGTGCCCTTCTATCTCACTGGACTGCTGTTGTGACAGCACTTCATCAAGATCCAAAAAAAAAGAATTTTGGCATTCTCTACAGCAGCAGTAGAGAATGTATATGGTCATGCACATTGGCAAGAGCATGGAAAAAACTCATTCTTTGGTGTCTGCTCTTGCTTCTTCTTCCAATTTAACATTTAGAGAGCCATTCTTTTTTATTTCAAACGCCTGTATCTCTCCTAAACCTTCTGCGGTACAATTCTGTAATGCTCCTCTCCTGTATGCTGCTTTAGAGTTGATATGAAATAGAACATATTTGCATATTCACAATATACATTAGTTTAGTTATGGGCATTTTGCAAATTTTTTTCCCTCTTCTGCTCTGTTTTTCATATTGCCACATGTTGTTCGCTGTGGCTTTTGTGGGGATGAGCTGTATCTGGAGAATCCTAAACTGACAAGCATCTTTGCAAGGATTTTATGTGTTCCTTTAATCCTCTCACTAGCTGCACAGCTGTAAGACAGCTAGTTTTAATCTGCAAGTGGCTGAGCATGTGAGGTGAAGTTCTGTTAGGAAATGGAAAGTGCACCTCGTGCTCCTCAATTGCCATGCTCAGAGCCTGTAGAGACAAGTGTTTGTTGTAGGCAGAACTATTTTTATCTTCCACAGTGCCCTGCTCAAGACCTACAGCATTCATGTTTGCATTTGGTTGCTGAAGGGGTGGAAAGTTGGATGTGTTTGAGTTAAGGGAAGTATCTGTTCTGCACCTGTGAAATGCTGCTCCTTTACCACCCGGTTCTTCTGAATATCCGGAGCCTTTATAAATCACAATCTCTGGAAAAGACAGTGCTTTTTACTCTTTTGTGGTTTGTAGTGTTCATGCTTATTTCTCAGGCTCTCCTAACTGGGGTGTGAATTATTCCCAGATGTAGATTTTTTGGGGGGAAACTGGAAAATTATATGATAGTTTTCAATTCCCTTATTAACCTTTGGCCTGCTGATTTAAAGTTGGACTGTTTTCTTTCATGCTTGCCATTCTTATTGCCACTTTTTCTAGCTATTCATAATTTTTCACTCTAGATCCAATGCCGGTTTTTATTCATAGTTTGCTTTCTCTCTTTTTGGTTCTCTCATTTCTACTTCCTGTTCACATCACTGAGATTTCAACTGTGATTTCATTCCCCTGTTCGTCTTATTTTGCTCTAGACTGATCTTATCCAAGCATGTTTTTCTCTGAATTATTTTTACAAACTTCCCTCATTACTCAAATATATCCAGCCCAGGAACACCTCTAATTTTTCATCCTGTCCATCTACTCCATATGCACCTGCAGGCTCAGCAGCTGGATGCACTTCTCAGCACAGCCATGTCTTCTGCTCCCTCCCACTGTGCTTGGACTCTTCAGGATATTGCTTGTCATGTTTATCATCCCTATACCTTAAAAAAGGGAAAATCTTTCATTTAAAGATGTCTAAGAAACAGCTGCTAGCTAGGTGGTGGTCCTCTCTGATGGCTTCTCAGAGACATTAGCAGACTGAGAGAACAGGGGAGTTTCTTGGTTTGGCTCTGGGCGTGGAGTGTATAAAGACAGGATGATGCATCTTTACTTCTGTTGGGTAGCTTCAGTTCAGCTCAGTGGAGTAATTGGGAACAGACTTGTCAGTAGTCCAGTGTGAGCATAAATATGTACAGACTACATCTGGATGAAAATGTAATTGACAACATTGATAATGTGGTATATATGGAGCACTTCATGTTCTCCATATATAAATATATTCATTGTATATAAATTCACGTACATGAATGAAGCTTAATGTGAATTCAGCTGGATCCTACAGCTTTACTTGACAGTTCTCCACACAGTTTTGCATTAAGCAGTGCAAGCATCAAATATTGTGGCATTGATTAAGAAGCAATAACTATTTGTTACATGCTTAGAAATTTCCAGCACTGTTGATCTTATTCAGATGAAGCAAACTGCTGGGTGTCATGGCTGATGTTGAGTTCTGTACCATGAATTACCTGAATTAGGGGGTTGTGGGGTACAAAGGACACTTGCAATTTAATCCTGAAATATTAGAGACGTGAATTGGCGTTTTAAGATAGGGGTTCTAATTTTTTACTTTAAAACTCTTCCTTTTTATGTGGATTGATGTGATTTAGTGTGACTGATTACTTCAAAATAATCTGAGAATATCTTTAAGGTTAGAACTCTGTGCTGGTTTTGTTGTTTGGGGTTTTGCCATGTCTTGTTTTTTTTCCCTTCTCTCAAAGTTTGTGTAATTATTTTTTTTGTGTAGTAAAGCCATGATTATGAAGGACTACTTTAGAATAGTGTAGTCTTACCACTAATTAAAAGGCTGCACCACCCTCCCATAGATTTCTGGCTCCCAAGAGTGAAAAAGTCTGCATCTCCTCTTTCCCAGCAGTTCTGTATCTCACCTTAAGGATAACAAGATTTTTCCATGTGCTTTCCCTTCCCTTTGCAGAGTATCCGTTCTGTAGCATCAGTGATTGCCCAGGCATCCTTCTGCAGTCAGTGTGCTTTCCTGCAATTTGTGCATCTACCCCCTGAAAAGCTTCACTACACAGACCTTATACCCATTCCTCAGGCCACAGGTGTTCCTTTTGTAAAGAAAAAAAATCTGATAAAAATCACATTTTAAAAAAAGTTTGAGCTTTCAGGCAATATTTTGCATGAGCTTTCACAATTTAATCTGCTATTGTTGTAGCCATCTGGGTTGTATCCATTATACATATTCCCTGGCATACACAGGTGGGCTTTTTTTCCCCCACCTTGCCAGATTTTGTAATCCAAGGGAGTCTTTTGGGTCCTTTGGTAATCTGGTGAGATATTTTGAGTGCCTTTCTTCCTTATCTTGATACTCTAAGTAGCAATTGAATATGTGTATACACATGATAATATTTACTCTTTGGTTTTTTGTGGGTTGATTTTTATTTAAACTTTGTCTAAGCAAAGAAACATTGATGTGGCTTAAAGAACCATTCCTATGTGATAAATTGCAAAGGCAATTGTTTCATGAAGGTCATAGTTTTTCTAGGCATTCATCATAAAATACATTAAAGTAATATATTTGTAGAAAAGAGGTTTGTAGATAAAGATGAAAAGAACCCTGCTCAGCAATGGTTATTAATTATGAATAATTTAATTCTTCCAGTAAGATTGAAATATTTCTGCTGTCAAGGTCTTGAGCAGTTTAC